TCGACTTCATGGTCGGCGTAGTAGAGGCGGGCAGGACACGACGTGGGTCGAGTGACAATTGGAATCTGGCTCACATACCGCATCAAACCAAGCCGGCGGAGATGCAGGCAAGCTTCCGTGCGCCAGCACCAGCTGGTCCTTCTGCGACACGCTCCACCACGCACGACTGGGCACATCGAACGCTCGCCATCGACGCGCTACAGAACGACGACGGGCTACTATCGCTATTACATGCAGTCGTTGTCGCCGTTGGTATGGACGCCACGACGACTGCGTGCAGAAAGGCGCGTGCGCGTCGACGTCGCGTAACACCGACGACCTATCTCCTCAACGCATCGGGCGAGCGTACGGTGCGTGAGTGCCACTGCCTCCAAGCTCTGCCCCCACGATCCGCCACCGTTCATCGCATCTCGACTAATAGCCTGGATGCCACTTGTCGGTGGGATTGTGGCTTGGTCACGACGACCTCTGCGCATTGAGCCCATTGATAAGTACTGTAGCCACGAGAATAGAGACGTCAATTGTAGAGAGATATTTGTGCAAATCCGTGTCGCTGCATCTAGACCTACTGCTACTACAAGACCACGTAGCTGTCGCGGCCTTGGCGACTCGAGTCGGGCCCGCTGCTTTTGGTGCGGTTGCGCAACATTGACCCGTTCTGCGACCGCCCGCCCTGCGACGAGAGGTTGGTGCCATTCCGCCGCGTCAAGAACGACCGCTCCTCGACCTAGTGCGTCGCCATGAGACACCATCCGCAGTAGAAAAGGAGTCGAAAATCTACCGAGCGCTGGGCCAGCGTCATGTTGAACTCTTCCAGCGCGCGGTGCGTGTCCAGAATGTGGCTCGCGTCGTCGGCAAACTGATTGTTGACGTTGAACGAGCCGCGCGTCGGCGCCTTGCGCTTCGTCGGCTCGTCCGCGCCCTCGTCCATCTTGCGCACCATCTCCGCAAACAGCGACGCCGGCTTGTGCATGAGCTACACGCACGTCTCCGTCATCGTCTCGTCCATCAATCAATCTCAGTCTACCTCGTTGTACGTGCCCACATCCACGAGCTTGCCCGCGTCCATGACAAGGATCGCGTCGGCATTGCGCGTCGTTGTCAGCCGATGCGTGACCGAGATGATCTACACACGCCGCTTCGTATCGCCGTGATCGCTCTCTAGTGTCCGCCTACCGTCATCTGCAGCTTCTTCGCCAGCACTTCCAGCGTCGCCACGACGCTCGCTTCCGTCTCTTGATCCAGCGCACTCGTGGCTTCGTCCAAGAGCAAAATGCTACACACACAAATATCTCTACATAAATGTACGCGACGAATATCGATCCCTGTACCTCGGCTGCCGCACCAGCGCGCGGGCAAGGCAAATGCGCTGCGACTGGCCGCCACTGAGGTTGACGACCGCATGCTGGCCAATGATCGTGTCGTAGCCGTCCTTGAGCGACTTGACGAAATCGTGGCACTCGGCCAACTTGGCCGCTTCAAGACACTCTTCGCGCGACGCGTTCGGGTTGCCATACCGAATGTTCTCCATGATGGTGCCGTTCAGAATGCCCCCGTCCTGAAAGACGACGGCCATCTGCTGGCTCAAGCTCGCCTTCGAGTAACCCGTCGTGTCCACACTGTCGACGCAGATCGCCCCCGCGCTCGGTGCGTAAAAGTTCATCAAGCAGCCGAGGAGCGTACTCTTGCCGCAGCCACTGGGGCCCACAATGCACGCATAATCGCCCTACACACCAAAAAAAGTTGAAACATTGATACTCCTCATCGAAAAATCGATAAAAACGAGAAAATCCATACCTTTTGAAACACCGCATTGATGTCGTCGAGCGTCCAGTTCTCCGCGTGCTCGTCGTACTTGAAGCACACGTGCTGCACCGACAACGCGTGCTGCATGCGGGGCACGGCCGGCCGCTTCTTGTCCTCCTTCTCGAGCTTGTCGAAGTCGTCGGCCGCACCATAGATAATCTCATCAATGCGCTGGAGACTCGACGCGTTGCCAATGGCGACGCGCATGAAGCCACCGAGAACCGTCACCGGCGACGAGATGCGGTTGAGGAGCGTCGTGCACGAGAAAAAGTCGCCCGATGTAATGTCGCCGCGAAACACCTTCATGACGAGGCACGCCGTCATGACTTGGACAAAGATAAACATGGCCGACTCAATGTAGATCTGGACCACGCCGCTCCAGAAATCCTTCGAGAACTGGGCCTTGCGCAGCCCGCTAATGCTCGCGCCAAAGCGCTTCAAGAGTGGATCTTGAATGCCATACGACCGCACCACCTTTTGACACGCGACCGCGTTCTGAAACTCGGCGGCCACATACGCATTCTTGGAGCCAAAGCTCTGCGACTGCTTGCCTACATGGGAATACAGGGTGAATTTTGTGCAATGGATGAAAATTTTCAAAAAATCAAACAATCAAAAACAAATAAGGAAAATCCAACAAAAATTCAAGACGGCACAAGACGACGACATACCGGCAAGGCCTTGGGGCCCGGACGTGACGACGACGGCCGCAAACGCAAACGACATCAAGCCCACAATCGGCTCCGAGTACATGAGGTAGGCAAAGCCAATAGCAATGGCCACAATCGGGTTCATGAGGTTCTACACATGTACAGCATGACACGCTTGCAATGGCATCGCACTCGAAATGTACCCAAAACACGGCTTGCCACATGGCGTTGACGCGCGCCACGTCCGACTGGAAGAGGTTGTTGAGGTCGCCTTCGGACCGGTCGTGGAAGAAGCCCGTCTGCTGGCGCATAATGACATTCAGGAGGCTGTTCTGCATCTGCTGCGTCGCTTTGGCAATCATCTTCGACTGAAAGTAGCCTATTTCAAGAGTGCACATGAGACTGCGAGGCGTCGTCCAGAGGAAGGAAGGAATACCCATGGCGTAGTCGGCCATTGTAAACGGAATGCTAATCGCCATGACGCCAATGACACCAACCATGAGCTCGTGCGGCGGCAAAAACGGCAGCTCGACGCGCTGGCCATTGTCGTCCGAGGTTTCATTCTTCCACTTGAACTCCGTGTGCACCGAGAGCCCGGTCGTCATGCCAAAGTCGTCAAAGTTGGTGAGCGCATACGTCCATGTCGACTTTGGGAAAGCCTTGTCCGTGAGGATTTGGAGGAAAAACGCGAGCAGCGGCGTGATCGAAGCGGCGACCAGGACGACCATGGTCGTGCAAAACAAATCCCACTTTTGCGTCGACCTACGTTCAATAAGACAATGTGTCGACACATGGAATAGGCTACCAGTGGCCAAACGTCGACTTGATCACGTCCCATGCGCCATACGCGTTGGTGATCGACGTCGCGTCAATGTCCCGCAAAAACGCCAGAAATTCATTCGCGCGAATGTTCTTCGGGCGGTACAAGAGCGCCCGCTCGAGAAAGCGCATGAGCTCTTCGCGCGTCATCTCGCCAGAGTCGCGGCCGCAAATGATGAGCAGGTCCGTCTCCATGGTCTCGACCGCCACCTAGTCGACGCGCGCGGTCAAGTACCTATATGCAAGGGTGGGCCTACCGCCGTGACACCGGGAATGCGGCGCAGCGACGCGCGGAGCGACTCCATCGAGATGCGAATGTGGTCGTGGTGCGCATAGTTGTGCAGCTTCTTGGAGAAGGTACGGGCGCGGGGCTTGAGGATGATGCGGGCGGCGGCGAGGACCACGTAGACTGCGTCAATGTACAGCTCAATCTGGTTCGAGCGGTACTTGTGGTTCGTCTTGTACTTGGTGGTCCAGCCGTCTTCGTACACCTTGAGCTTGTCGAGGTTGTCGGCAAACACAAAGCTAGACACAGCATC